CTGGAGGGAGGCTGCGCTCGTTTATGGCTACTAAGCTCGTAAATAACATTGCACTGAGAAATATATGTGAGCCAACTGAATACAGAAGAGAAAGAAAAGAATTAGGAAAAATCAATGTGGACTCGGAACGTGGAAATAAATTCAAAACAGATTTGCCCGTTTTTCATCTCCAAGCCGCAAAAAGGATACGAACTAGAGTAGAAACAGAAAAGGAAGGAGAAAATTATAAAGAGACATTGTAAATCAAGAATATGGTAATATGTCAAAATTCAAAAACTAAAAAAAACCTCCTCCTTATTTGTTTTCTGTGAGAGGTGTTGGCACTTGACAAGTAGCCGGAGTGGTATCAAATGCAGCAATAACCACTCTCCGGCAGGGCTGTAGATGTCTCCTCCTTTCGAGAGTTGCTCAGAAACAAGCTGATCGTGGATTTAATTCCGTGCCAATATGCCAATGCTAATTTGCCATTGAAACAGTTCGTAAAGGGATTGATTGTCTCAGCGGTGAAGTTGAATCATCGACCTGCAAGACGACAACAGTGCTATCCCAATGCGCCATATTTGTAATATGATAAAGGTTATATTTGATGGAAGTACTTAAATTTCGTTCACACGTCTCTCTCCATGAAGGGCAGGATTGGAACAGATCCGAGCTATATCGCTTTATACGTGTTACACCGTCTGCTTGTAAAAATGTCGATAGAAGTACTCCTTCGGAGGACTACTTAAGAAGAAAGCTAAAGGAGAAAGAAGCGAACAGCTGAAAATTTCAGGATTTTAAGGGATACTCCTTAAACGAAATATTTAAAGCTCGAATTTTTTTCCAACAAATCTTTTTTTTCTCAGCAATTTTGCTGTCCTTTGTGTTGGTGAACTTCAAAGCGGCATGAGAGGAGCGTGACCTGCAGCTGACCTCTGACCTCTCGCTGCTTTTTGCTTCTTCCCTTCCAGTGTATTGTTAATATATTAGATTCTCAATAGCTTACATTTGCATAAACAGTACGGTGCTTTCTGACAAAAGCCGCCATGGTCGCGTGCGTATTCTCGACAAGGGAGGCCTCAGCCAGCGGCTTCGTTTGATGCTAACAAAGTGCTAATAATAGGCTAATACCACATTTTCTTGCTGGTTATGCTAATGAGCTTTTTTTTTCTCCGCTGCTGCTGCATAGGTTTCTTTTCCAGAAATCACCAGCACAAAAAATTGTTGGCTTTTTTCCCGTTCGAAGGATTGCGGGCTTTTTATGCAATTTTTTTCTTGCAGGAGAACATGTCTATCTATCTGTCTGCTCGATCGTTCGCGTGTTTCATCTCTTCGTGACCGAAATAATGAAAGAGTTTTGCTAAAAATGAGCTTGCCTTTTTCGCATCACGATTTTCACGGG